AATATGGTATATCTGTATCTGTTTTATTTAAATGCATAATTCATTATGAGCATATAATTTAAATAAATATAATAAAAAAATATTAAGACTAATATAATAAAAAAAAAATATGTATAAAATTGTAAAAATAAAAAATTAAAACTTATTAAAATTAAAACTTATATATAAAATATTAAAACTTAAATATAAAAAAAATATATTTAAATTCATTTTTTTCCCATTTAAAACTATAGATATCAGTTCAAGATTGTGAAAGATATTTTTATCATGTACGTTGAAAAACGTACCGGAAACGTAAACACTCAATTTGTTCGCACTATAAAGGAATATAAATCCTTGCTTAGCTATGCTCATTAATTATTTAAAACAATACCATTGATGCACGAAATTATTTTAAGCAAGTAAAATTATTTAGTTTTTTAAATAATTTTATAGATACTCCCCTCAATTTTAATGAATAAATTATATGTTTAATGTAAATATATTTTTTTGATAAATGCTCATTTTGGATAATTTATTTAAATAAAAATAGGGGTATTGACATTTTATTATTATCTTGTTTAATTTTGTGCTCTCATAATGAGTTTTTGTTCGAAAACAACGGTGAATCCTTTATATAAACATGATAAAAATTGTATGATGTATCTGTAGCTAGATATGTTTTAAATGATGTATCTGTAGTATCTCCATTTAAAAATTATCTTAACAACTCTGATCATTAGGTATGAAAAAACCGGCGGAAAAAGCAAACGAAAAAAAATTGGTTTTTTAAAATATTTTATTGGTACAATATTAATGTATTGCAAATTTTTTATTTTCACAATCATTTGTATAAAATTTTAAAATACAATAAGACAATCATGCCTTCGTAAACATACTTTTATTTAAATATAAATTGGTTGTATTGAATTTTGTAAACAAGATGGTAGGGAGTAGGTGCATGCTCAGTCATGATGTTGATGTTAGAAGTAAAATTCCATTTTGCTCATCATTCTTAAACTATTAGGATCCTTTAGTCCGCAATTACTTGAAGAAAAAGGGCGTTTTGAGCAAAATCTGCATTCATAAATTCCAATATTTCCCTTTTTTGCAATAAAAAGTTGTAGTATTGACCCCGATTTGTATTGTGGCATATTTTAATTTAATGAATAAAAAAATTAAGAAATAAATATTGAATTAACTGATATATATATGTTATTTTAAAAAATTAATAAAATATTATTAAAATATTTTTAGTTATAAAAATAATTGCTAATTTTTTAAAATAATTTATATTGTTATAATGAACATCATCCAACCCTTATCTAAATATTTTTGCAAATAAAATTTAATTAGGGATGCACCGATATTTTTATCGGATCGGATCGATTTTCATTTTTTTAAATATCGGTGATCAGCCAATATTATAACTTTTTCCATTCCGATCCTATAATATGGCCTCTTAATTATTAAAAAAAATATTTCAAAATTACATTATGTAAACTTAAAGATTTTGCTCATAGCTGGCAGAAATGCTTGGACATCAATTTGCCAAATCTCGATGCTTACATAATATTATTTTAGCTAATATCTTAATCGGGCTTTTTAACAAAACTAGGTACACCCCTAAATTTAATAAAAATGATGATTTAAAAAAAATCTTTTGCTCCCTCGATGTTGGTGGTATTAATTTTTCTGTTGCTTTTTGTTAAAAAGCAGTTTTTTTAATTTTATTATCCCTAATAATCGGAGTTGTTAAAAGATACTTTTTAAATGAGCTAGATACAGATCAGAGTTGTTAAAGTAGCGCGTTACTTAGCGCGCTATCTTTTTTAGTAGCTATAGCTAATAGCGGCTACTTTTTTTGAAATTATTTAATTTTTTAGCGCGCTACTTTTAAAAAATATAATGAATGTAAGTATAAGCACGAAAATTTAAATATATTACCATAATTAATTATAATTTTTATGATTTATTATTTAATTTTGAAATAAAATATATTTTCAATTTGTATTATAAACCTAAATCACCTGTTAATAATTTAAAATGGCATCGCATATGGATATCCAAATCGTTGAAAGTGATTCAGAGTCAGACAATGATATTAATGAAATGGAAGATACCAAAGAAGAAAATAATATTCATAGCAATACTTTCTCATTCCCTAGATTTCAAAAATTTTTCAAGATAAATATTAAAACAAAAACTGGCTTCAAATTTATATGTTTAAAATGTAAAAAAAATATTTCCTCAATGCAATCCAGTAGCTATAACCTCAAGAAACACCTAAAGGTAAATTATCATTTTTACATAAAATAATAATATTTATTTTATAAGACTGCTAATAGTTTTAAGAAAATTGAACAACATTTAAATAACTTTGGCATAGGTGAATCTACATCCAAAAAGACTAATTCCATTAGACAAAATAATTAATAATACAAATGCTAATATTTCTCAGAAATTAACTGATAAAGTTATTGTGGATTTTATAATTGATAAAGTTCAGCCAATGGCCTTGGTTGATAATCCATCATTTACTATGATGATTAAAACTTTATCACCTGGTACAACTATTTTATGTCGCCAGACACTTGTGAATAAAATAGCAGAAGTGATGAAAGATGCTTTAATAGTAGAATTGTCAGAGATATCTCATATATGTACCACGGCAGATAGTTGGACACATAACAGAAGGTAAACACTTATTTATATTTATAAATTGATCTGATTAAATATTTTTAGAGCTTATTTGGGAATCAAGGCCATTGGCTAGACCCTAGGACTTTAAAAAGAAGATCAGTAGCATTAGCCCTCAAAAGGATAATAGGATGCCAGACATACAATGTGCAAATAAAATTATTGACGTCTCTTTTAGGATTCATAATAAAGTTTGCAAGATGGTGACCGATAAGTGGTCCAATTAGCTGAAAGCCTTCAGTATTATAGAGTAATTTTTAAAATATTTAGAGTAATAAAATTAAATCAAGTAATAGTTAAGTTATTAATTAAATTTTTCAGTATTTATTTAAAAGTTGTTTAATATTTCACATTATATATAGAATTTTTATTAACTAAATACATACATATTTTAGTAATATTATATCATAATTTATATCAAATTATAAAAAAATAAGTGAATTTAAATTTAACTAATAAAATTTACAACAGATATGGATTATTTCATTAGTTTTTATTGCACAGTGTCATTGAGCTTAACATTTAATATGATATGGTTATTGAATATTTCATGTATGATTTTTACTATATTTATTTCTTATTGAATAATATCCATCGATTTATATACAGTACAGGGAATTCAATGTATTCATTTGATAAAATATTTTTACTTAGTTACATCATAATTCCTGAGGTTTAAAATTTAGAATAGCAACCTAATGATTTTACCACTCCATTTTTGATAAATATCACTACACATTTCTATTAAAACGGGATGAATAATTTATTCTATTTAATATGAATATAGAATATTCGGTGAGGATAATGCTGAAGGTGAGACACAGAGAGATTATTTAGTAAGGCAAAACTGATACTTTCTGATCGTCGCTCTAGACTTGGGGATGATAATATTTATATGATTTTATTATTAAAATTCAACAAATTACCATAAATATTTCAAATTTATTACATAAATTTTTTTATAATCTAAATTAACTATATTTTAATATTTATAAATGTTGATTTTTATATATTATTTACTATACAATTACATTATATGCAAAATAAAAAAAAAATTGTTTTTAAATTTTTTTTATAAAAAGTAGCCTAACCCTGAATTCATAGTGGCGCGATCGCGATTGCGATTTAGACGCGATAAATATAAAATGCAGTAAATATGATATCGCATTCATAGTTACCGATCGCGCGATTTGATACGCGAAAGCAAATCGCCGCGATTTTTTTAAAACACAAATCATTTTGTGTTTATCGCGAGATTTTGAAATAGTGCTTCGTTAAATACAGATTTTGGTGAATATAGCTCAAAATTTTTGATTTTGCGCTACTTTTAAATTTAGCGCTAATTTTTTATTAATTGAAATGATCAATGACAACCTTTTTTGATGATATAAAACCAAAGGATCAAGTTAAAATTATGATTTAAATTTAATTTTTTTTAGAAAATAGATAAAATAGCTTTTATAGATGCAAATGATATATTTAATGAAATAACAGGAGGTATACATGAATGTAAAATATAGCATTTTAATTGATAAAATATATTTATTATTTAAGTGATCTCATTGATAGTGAGAATATATCAGATGATATATTTATTCCCAAAGATTCTGTAGCAAAATCTTAGTAATGATTCTGGTAATTAATAATATCTAAGAATTTATTTTCTCCAAATCAACAAACGCATAATAGAGTTTCTTTTCCTTCGCAAGATACTTCTCCTGAATATGTCTCACCACAAAAATTGCATCTGTCGTGCCTTTTCCCGATGTAAAACCAAACTGCATTTCATCAATTTTAATTTGTTCCCTTAACCGCTTCTCTAACACTCTCTCAAATACTTTCATTGCATGTTCCAAGAGTTTAATAGCTCTGTAAGACCGGCAATCTAAAGGATCACCTTTCCCCTTGTATACTGGGATAATCATACTTCTTCGCCTCGGGAATAGTACCTTCTGTGAAAATTTGATTTGCTAAATTCATTAACCATTCAATCCCTAAATCATCAGAACCTTTAAACATCTCTGATACCACCATCGTTAACCCCGATGCCTTCCCTTTTTCATCTTTTTCACTGCTCTCTTTATCTCGTCCTTGCCAAATTTACACCCTGGGCCTTCTACCTTTGCACAACTAATATTATTATCCCATTCATTTTCTTCATTCAAAAGTCCTTTCATGTAAATCTTCCAGGTGTTCTTAATACCACTACCATCAATCGCCATTTTTCCTTCCATATTTTTCAAACACTTTACACCTATCACATCCTGCCTCTTTTTTGACATATGTTTTGCCATTCGAACCATATTTCCAATTCCATCAGCTCATTCCATTTCTTTAGCAAACTCGTGTCTTTTTTCTTCTTGAGCCTTCGCTATTAATTTCTTAGCATTTCTTTTAGCCATCTTGTAAATATCATTATCACTATTTTCTTTGCTATTATACCATACTTTGAAACACCTCCGTTTCTCATCCACGGCTTTCGCTACCTCCGGGTTCCACCACCAAGTCTTCTTATGTCTAGGCGGCCCTTTTGTCCATCCACATACCTCCTCAGTTGTCATTACCCAGGCTTTCTTTATGGCTTCCCACTTGTCATTCACTCCAGATGCTTGTGCCACCTCCGCCTCCCTAATCGCCAATGCTATATTGAATTGACGTCTAGCACTCTCCTCCTTTAATTTCCAAACCTTCAGCCTTGGGACAAACTTTCTTTTAGTGACCCTGGCACCTTTAAGAGTGAGATCTCCTACAACTAGTCGATATTGATTTATACATTCCTCTCCCGATATCACTTTCACATTTTTTACTATACATCGATCACATATAACAGGTAATACACTGCACTTTTGGTACTACCCGACTTATAAATCACCAGCTTCTCTGATTCTTTCTTAAACATTGTATTACAGACAATCATATCCATAGCATCACTAAAATCCTCTCTCCTTCCAAGTTTCTCATGCCGTAACTGAACCCTCCATGTACTCCGTCATAACCCTCACTACTCGCTCCCACATGTACATTCAGATCACCAGCCAGAATAATCCCCTCTTCATTTGCCAGTCTCGATGTCACCCCCAATAGACTGTCCCAAAATATATCTTTCTCTTCTTCACTTCTTCCAACCTGAGGAACATATGCCGAGATAATATTATATAGCTTTCTACCAAAAATCATCTTGATAACCATTATCTGGTTGTCTAGCCTTCTCACTTCGACTACTTTGTCTACCAATTTCTCCGCAACCAATACCCCAACTCCAGCCTTACCATCAATACCTCCTTGCCAAAAGAATTTATACTTTTCGTTAGTCTTGCCAATCATTCTGGTCCCATTTCCTTTCCATCTAGTCTCCTGTATGCAGCACACATCTATATGTCTTCTGTGCAATACATCGACGACTTCTCCCGCTCTTTCCGTCATACTCCCAACATTCCATGTCGCGACCCTAACTCGATCACCCGTAAACTGGTTTCTCCACTTTTTATCAGGTCGTTTATGGCCGTCATAAGTTTCATTTTCATGAATAGTGGTTCCACCAGGTTTCCCATCCTTCTTTTTGTCGTAGGCGGATGAGGAGGCCCACGGGGTACTTTGGGCTGTACCCCGCCCATGCTTTGTTGTAACCATAGGGAAATTTTGTAGTAAGGTTTTTACAATCGGATGCCCTTCCTGACATCAACCTCTTTAAGTGGTTTTTACACCCCGTCGAGGAGACGGTGATCCTATTCTAGACCCAGATCACAGGGAACCTTTTAGACCGCCATTAGCCGCCAAAAGACGTTGCCACTCCCCCGCCACGATGAGGCTGATGGTAGGATTTTGGGAGAGTTATTTGAAATATATATTTTGTATGTATTTATATTATTTGAAATAAACATTTTGTGAAATACATTGAATGATATAATTATTCCCAAAAGTCCTGCATTAAAGCCTTGTACCTTTATTTTTTATTATAATATATATAAAATACAAAACAAGATATTTATGATTGTACCAATCAGGAAAAAAAAGAAATTAAAAGATTATTGATTAAAATTATTTTGAATAAATTTTTGTTATTTGAAACTATATTAATAACAACTTTATTTTTATTATAATATATATAAAATACAAAACAAGGTATTTATATAAAATACAAAACAAGATATTTATATAACATACAAAATAAGATATGATTAAATTTATAAAAATCTATAATATAGGATTTTTATATAAAATATAAGCATAATCATGGAATGAATCAGAATAGCAGTGTTGATTTATACTATATGAATCTTATGTTGCTAAATACCTAAATAAAAAATATATTTAAATAATAAATTGCTTTATTTTTACCTTAAACAAACCATGAGCTTTTCTTCAACACTTATAGGATGTTTTATAAAATTGGTACATTTGGTATGTAATAAAGGTTTTACAAGTATGAGTATATAATAAAAGGTTTCCTAAATTAAAATTAATTATAGATAAAATAGAATAAAATTACTTTAGTCATTCTCATATAGTTGAAAATTAGGCTCATTTTTTAATAGTTTAGGAAAGAGGACATAAAATTCGCCCTCTTTTGTTTTATTAAAAGATAGTATCTTCTCCTCTTCAAGATCATTCTGTAAAAAAATAATAATTTGAGGATGGATACCATTTTGAATTTTTAACGCTTTGCACTGCACTATAATGAAAATCGCTGCGATCGATCCAGCTGATCGGTCGCTGCGATATCGCGGCGAAATCGCAATCGCTCACTATGAATTCAGGGTAAGGCTACCTTCATAGTGGAGACGGTTCTGATTAGATGTCAAAACATCTGATTTGACGGCGTCCGACAAGGCTTTCATAGTGAATTTTTTTTATAACGATTCGATTTAAACAGATTAGACATTATTTTATTTTTTAAAATGAATCAATATTTCTTAGTTAAATTATGTCAAGAAAGAAAAAAATATAGTTAATTCGAAAAAAAGGAGGGAGGGTATTTTACTTTGCTGCCGAAATTACCTGAAAATGATGTAAAGTTTTATAATTATATGCGTATGAAAAAAGTGAATATATTATTAAATATAGTATTTTCATAATTCCACTTTAAAAAATAGGAAACGTTTTATTATATACTAAATCTTATAAAAGTTACAATCACAAAAAAGAAAACGAATTTTATCAAGAATCAAATTACATCAGATAAAAAGTTAATGATTACCTTGAGGTATTTATTTATAGTTTTTTAACCTGCATATATCTTATAAATTTATTAAAATTAGCTTATCATATATATTAAAATAATTTTATATTTAATATTGAGATCTAACCCTTATATTAATAAAGGTTGAAAAACTTATTAATTATTATTTTTATCAGACACATTATATCTTATTACTAATTTTTATAATTTTAAAATACATTTTTATAATTTCTTACTGCATTTAATCTAGATATCTTGCAACCGGGGATTCATATGTCTCCATATCTTATAATTATAAATTAGGAGTATCCACTATTAAGCAAATAATAGGAGATAAAATCAAGGCTTTATGGGATATTTTGCAACCTATCCATATGATGGTACCTACATTAGAGATGTTTGAGGAAGTAGCTCAAGGCTTTGAGGAGATGTGGAACTTCCCAAACTGTATAGGTGATAGATATATTTAAGCAAAAGATAATATTTTTTAATTATATTATTTCTTGCTATATTAAAATTTTAATATTTTATTAGGGGCCATTGATGGGAAGCATTGTAAGACAAATAAGCCTCCACACACAGGAACACAGTTTTTCAATAATCCTTCAAGAATTGGTGGATCATAATGGCAAATTTATGGTTATAGATGTTGCCAGTTATGGAAGCCAGAGTGATGAAGGAGTCTTTGCAAACTCACTTCTATCAAAAAGAATTGAAAGTGGTGAGCTTCCAATTCAACCCCCTAAGCTTTTACCTAATTCAAATATAGTGGTGCCTCATGTTATTTTAGGGGATGGAGCATATCCTCTGAAAAGATATTTGATGAAGCCATATATTAAAAATAATGATTCTAAAATATTTAACTACCGCCTATCCTGGGCAAGAAGGATAGTGGAGTGTAGTTTTGGGGTTTTAACCCCAAAGTGGAGAATTTTATTAAAACAGGTAGAGGTTACTGTTTTTAAAGACATCATTAAAGCAACTTGTATTTTACATAATATAATATTAACTAAAGAAAATTTAAATATAATAAGTTTTGATCCTGGTGGTTCAAATTATCCTTTATGGAACCAACAGAGTATTAAATAGTTCTGATCAAAATAAAAATATAAGAAATTTATTTAGCAATTATTTTAATAATATAGACATTTTGCCCTGGCAAACTAATATTTTAAATTAATATTTATTTTTTCAATATTTTGAATTTATATGTATTAATTTCTTTATATTTTTTGGTATATATTTTCTTTTTATAAAAATACAAGAACTTGTTTATAAAATAATTATTTTGTACCAATTTCCCATGTTTTTATTTAATAAATTCTTAAAAAAAATTTATACATGTAAATAAATATTGTCTGCTATTGTAGGTGAATGGGTAATAAGATTTATTAGAAATTGATACTACTGAGGTCTGTATTACTACTGATTTTTTAATGTGATATTTTTTTTAAAGTAGCTTATATAAAAAAACGATCCTGAGTGTAATATCTTGCCTACTTAGTAAGCCTTGACTAATCAAATTTATTTTTATCAGACCTTTCCTGATATGGTACTTAAAATGATATAATTATAGGTTAGGCTAAGTTTAAAAAGCACAAAACAAATATTTATTATTTTGTAATAAAAAATTTAAAATATGTTTAACAATAATAATATATTTATTTATAAATAAAAATATTAAAAAATATATTTATTTAAAAATAAAAATATTAAAAAATATATTTATTTAAAAATAAAAATATTAAAAAATATATTTATTTAAAAATAAAAATATTAAAAAATATATAATTTATTTTTTTAATTGACTTTTATATAAAAAAAATCATTTGAATAATGTTCATTTTCACTTTATCTTTGTGATCCTGTGGTAAAGATGACAATTCTTCATCTATAAATTTAGCAAAGGAGGATACTTCTTTTTTATCCTCCTCTATTTTTATTATTTTTTCAAATAATTTTTCTCTAAAATTTGTTTTTCCTTTTTTATTCGATTTTGAAATATTTTTTTCTACATATATATTTTCATCTGTGGTGATATCATACAGCGGAGTGGAATTTGATATGGTTATGTTGGATATTTGTGTTCTAGGTGTTAATGTTTTGTTTAAAAAAGATAATGCTTCATAATACGGCCATACAGATATATATGGTGTCCTGCTGAACCACTAGGTTTATCCAGAGTTTTTTTATATTCTTTATTTTGGTAATCTCTGAGATTGTTCCACCTAGTTTTTAACTCATCACCTGAAAATATAAAACAGATAAATAATCATATTGTTTGCTCAATTATTGATAGTGTTTAATTTAATTAAAAAATTAAGTTTGCTCCTAAATGATTATTCAAAGATATTGATTAACATTGTAATACCAAATTTAAGAATTAAATAGTAAGCTTAATCTTTTTATCTAAATACTTACATGAGATAATATAGTATTAATTCAATATAACAAATGATAGAATTAATATTTTTAGGATGATTTATTATTAATACATCAACAAGCTTAGTTATTTTTAACAAGGTATGCTAGAAATAGAGAAGACAAATGGAAGAGTAAAATTTAACTCATCACCTAAAAAATATAAAACAGAGGTAATGAATGATCATATTGTTTGATCAATTCTAAATATATATATAATTATTGAAAGTGTTCAATTTAATTAATAAAATATATTCAAAAAATTTTATCTTATATTTATAAAGTTTTAATACCTGATTCACCAAAATTTATCCAAAATTCGGATTTTTTGCTCGAATCCTTGTAACTTTCATTAAATTTATCATATATAAATTTAGATCCTCTTACAGCTTCAATTAAATCTAACACATTAATTTTCATTTTTAACATCAACAAGCTAAAATATTAGAAAAAAAAAATTATATTTAGTTATTTTTAACAAGGTAGATGAGAGTCAAAGAGAAGATAAATGGAATAGTTATGATAAAATGCTATTATAATTAATACAAAAAATTCTATTAGTTAATAATGTATATATGTATTATAATGTTAGAATTAAAATAAAATTCTATTTAGTTATGATAAATAGAGATATAGTATTAATACAATATAACAAATGATAGCATTAATATTTTTAGGGTAATTTATTATTAAAACATAAACAAGCTTAGTTATTTTTAACAAGGTATGTTACAAATAGAGAAGACAAATGGAAGAGTAAAATTTAACTCATCACCTAAAAAATATCTGTAAAAACTAACTATTTAAAAAATTCTATGTTATATTTGTAAAGTTTTAATACCTGATTCACCAAATTGTAAACCTAAATTTATCCATAATTTATAACTATAAAAATTTTATAAGTAACGTTATAACGCTCTATAAGATTTGTCGGATCAAAAAGTCAAAATGTTTTGATTTCAAAATTTGCCAGATCCGTTTTTAAGATGGAAGGTATCGGAATGGACACACTATGAACTTATATATCATTTTTAATGAGATTGACTTTTGACGGAACGGATGTAAAAATCGGATCCGTCTCCACTATGAAAGCAGCCTAGTAGCTAAAGCTACTTTTTAAAAATATTAGCTAATAGCGAGCTACTTTTTTTTAACAATTAGCGATAGCGGTAGCGCGCGAATTTTTTTGACAAATAACGATCAACTCTGATACAGATACATCATCAAAAATAGATCTAGATATAATTTCACAAATGTATCTGTAAACAGATACAATTTTTATCATAGATATATAAAGGGTTCGCCGTTGTTCTCGAACAAAACTCTATGAGAGCATAAAATATGTAAACAATATTTTTATATTTTGTTCTCATTCAATTGTCATTACCCCTATTTTTATCGTTCTTTTGAACAAATTCTTAAAACCAGCATTTACTTAAATTTTTTACATTAATAATTCATTCATTAAATGTCAGAAGGAATATCTATAAAATTATTTTAAAAAATTATAAATAAATTTAAAATTGCAATAATGGTATTGTTTTTAATAATTAATGGGCGTCATTGCTAAGCAAGGATTTATATATACCTCTACATGATAAAAATATCCACAATCTTGAACTATTTATAGATTTAAATGGTGAAAAAAAAATTTAATAAATATTTATATATAAATTTTAATATTTTATTTTATATATAAGTTTTAATATCTTAAATATAAGTTTTAATATCTTAAATATAAGTTTTACATTATATATATTTTTATTATATTAGTTTTAATATTTTTTAATATATATTTATTTAAATTTTATGCTTATATGAAATAAAATGAATCATAAGTTAAATAAAAGTATATTAAAATGTATCTTAAAAGTATCTATAAGCAGGCACATACCTCTAAAATAGTATGTACATACTGATTGGACCTAACCACTTAATTTTATTACATAAAGAAATTTAAACTAATTTTTGGAGATTTTTTTAAAGAAAAAGGGTAAAGAGGATCCCTAAGAATAATGTTTTGGATGCAATTTCGACCAATAGTGGACATAGAAACCTATAATAATCAACTAAAAGTAGCAATATCTAAGTCAAAAAATTACATGTCAGCAAGAATCTATTTTTTTTAATACCATGACGATCCTTAAAATATGGATTACAAAATATTATATCGTATAAAAATTTAGTATAATATATTAATTTTTTAGATAAAAATAGATTGATTCGTATAAATAACTTTTTTTAAAAATTGACCCAACTTTAAAAAATTATGTTCATAAATTAATGTTCGTGAATTATTCCATAAATTATACTAAATTTTTTCAGTTGCAAAGCCTTTAGGATTATTTTTCTGCCAATTCCAAGTATCTTGACCTAATAATAAAATAGATGATTAGTAGGGCTATTGTTTTCATTTAAAAATATTGAAAGCTTCCTTATTAATGATAATTTATTTGTAAGTTATGCAGAATGTCAAAATAAAATTAATTAGTAATTCGAAATAATATGAGTAATCGAAAACTATTGGTATAAAAACTGAGATATATATATAATCCTTAATACGTTAATCAAGGAGATAATGGCTTACGACAAATTGCTAAAATAAAAACTTACACATCTCGTTAATATCCATCCCAGCCTTCCAGTTTAGCTCCTTGAGCGCTAACGAAGCATCAGCATAACAAGAGGCGGTGTCCCCAGCTCTACGTGCTTGAAATTCATAAGGAATCTTTTTACCGCAAACTTTTTCGAAATTATGCATGAGTTCTAACACAGAACAACCTTTTCCTACTCCCAAGTTATATATCCTGACGCCATCACTTTTATCATCTTTATGACTTAGAGCCTCCTTACCTTGTTTGCTATTATTTAAAGATCCGTTATTAATTTTTGGAGTCATGGTTTTAAGGGCACACACATGCCCCTTAGCTAAATCTACCACATGTATGTAGTCTCGGACACCTAAACATGAAGATAAAATGATTGATATTTTTTTTATAAAGATGAAGAATGTGGATTCGAATAATTAATTATAGAAAATTTCTGAGATATTTCTACCTGTGCCGTCGACGGTGGAATAATCATTGCCAAAAATATTTAATTTGGGAAATATGCCCATTGCAGTTTTAGATATGTAAGGCATCAGATTATTAGGAATATCAAGCGGATCTTCGCCAATTTTTCCCGATTTATGAGCTCCGATTGGATTAAAATATCTGAGTATGACAATGTTCCAGGACTGGTATTAAAATGTATGTTTGAATAAATAGTTTATGTAAATCGTTATATTTCCAACTCAATATATTAAATGTTAATAACCGATAAGAAAAACATATATTTAATCTGCTATTAATTTCCATATGATTCATAGAAAAATGGCCTAGATACTATATCTGTGTGAAAAGCTTCTATTAGGAGCTGGAAACGTTATTATGGTCAAGGACTAATGAATCGAGTGTTTAAAAGAATATTTTACAATATAAATAGTCGGGTAAAATGAAGCGAGTTTTCATAGAGATATTCATCAATCGGAAGGCGATAAAAGTTGTTATGAATATGAGGCGGTGGAAAGAGATACAGTCTAAAAGATTTTGCAGGTAACTGGGACAGAACCCAGTTAAAATGTTAATTTAATATTTAAATGTTTTCCAAAAAAGGTTTAAAATTTATCTGCAAATCGTAAGTATAGTGTTTAAAAAAGGAGGGCCTAAAAATTGTTAAAAATTTCGGATGCATCTAGGCATCTATGTACAAAAGACATTTTTTACTCAAACATATAAATTTTTATATCTATTAAGAAACAAACCCTAAAGAATTTTTTTAAAAAATATAAGCTTTCAAATTCAATTATGGCTCATCTTGGGAACCCAACTACCCTTATATTTTATTTATTTATAGATTTTTATCAATTGTATAGTATATTTAATCCTTAAAAATATTATTCATGTTAATATATTTATTTAATTATGTAATAAATTAGGATTATTTTCATAATTCTAGAATCAATCTTCCCACCCCATCCAAATCCTGTTCCCTCACGTAACAGTTTATAACAAATTAAATTTTAAATGATCCAAATTTTCTTAAAAAAGTAAATGTGCCCAAAATTTTTGAAATAATCATCATTTATTTGTGTTATTATTTTATCAAACTATAGACACTTAAAGTGGAGGATGAAATTTCTTAAATAACTTAAAAGAAATAGAAGAAACAGATGGCTAAGGTAGCTGTAAATAGACCTTTTACCCTGATATAAAATAACGCCTAATATCTAAATGTTTATTTTTGACTATTTTTAAACAGTCATCTAGAATAACTAATACTTCTTAATCTATGACAAATTAATATTTTAAGCTACATTAAAAAAATACCATATCAAAAAGTATAGTAAATAAAAGACAATATACTAAAACCTAAACAAATTTAAAATTTGGAAATAATATATTTAGTCAAATAACATGGTTTATAAAGGAAAAAGTCATTGCCATAGGTCCCATTAAAACTATAAGACTAAATGGGGCAGATTTGAGTTTCTCCAGTACAAGATACACTTTTTTCATAAATATTCTAGCATCCATTGTTTGAGGTTAGTTAGGATAAAAAAAATAGCAAAAGGAAATTATATTTCCCATCTATACTGCATTGGATCTAAATTTTTATTAAATTATCTGGTTATTTAAATAGAACAAGCCAGATCCAAATAGGGAAGATTCAGGTCCAGTCCTATACTCAACAGATCTCTATATATTATGGCAAGTGGTAAACAATTCCCTAAAAAATCTTTTTTGAGATGGTAGAATTATTTTTGGAAATTTTAATAAAAAATATTATTAAGGGAATTTTTTAGGGCAATTATATTCTGAAATTTTTATATTATTAACTAGAGGTAGTGTTGTTAAAACGCCGCGAGTCGCGACCCCGACCCAAAGCTCGGGTCGTTTTATTCGACTCCGACTCAATGTTTGGGTCGTTTTTTTCGACTTCGACCCAAAATATGGGTCGTTTTTTACGACTCCGACTAAAAATTTGGGTCGTTTTTTTCGACTTCGACCCAAAATATGGGTCGTTTTTTACGACTCCGACTAAAAATTTGGGTCGTTTTTTTCGACTTCGACCCAAAATATGGGTCGTTTTTTACGACTCAAACTTGAAGTTTGGGTCATATTTTTCGACTCAAACTTGAAGTTTGGGTCGTATTTTTCGACTCAAACTTGAAGTTTGGGTCGTATTTTTCGACTCCAACTCAAAGTTTGGGACGTTTTTCTGACTCAGACTCAAACATCGGGTCGTTTTATTCAATCCGACCCAAAATATGGATCTTTTTTTTTAAAGTCGACTTAAAGTTAGGGTTGCTTTTTTTCACCCTTAACCCAATATCTAGATCATTTTTTTTGACCAAAAGTCAAATAACATTTAGTATATATTAATATTATAGGCGGGAAAGTTACTTAAAGCTTCTTTAAATTATAATACTCTGGATTAACTATTCATCATAGTTATTTTTTTAAATTTTTAAGTGAAAATGCACCATAGAAAAGAGCCATTTGTTATGATGGTTATTTTTGAACTTTTTTAAATGAAATAGATAAAAATATATATTGTAGACATGTTAAATCAAAATTTCAGTGAAGATGTACCATAGATAAGTGACAATTGTCATAATCGCCATTTTTGAGCCTTTTTGAGTTTTTTTAAAGGAAATAGCTAAAAATATATATTCTAAACATGTTAAATTAAAAATTCAGTGAGGATGTATCATAGATAGGTGACAATTGTCATAATCGCTATTTTTGAACTTTTTCAAATTTTTTTAAAGGAAATAGCTAAAAATATATATTCTAAACATGTTAAATTAAAAATTCAGTGAGGATGTATCATAGGTAGGTGACAATTGTCATAATCGTTATTTTTGAACTTTTTTCAATTTTTTTAAAGGAAATAGCTTAAAATATATATTCTAAACATGTTAAATTAAAAATTCAGTGAGGATGTATCATAGATAGATGACAATTGTCATAATCGCTATTTTTGAACTTTTTCAAATTTTTTTAAAGGAAATAGCTAAAAATATATATTCTAAACATGTTAAATTAAAAATTCAGTGAGGATGTATCATAGGTAGGTGACAATTGTCATAATCGTTATTTTTGAACTTTTTTCAATTTTTTTAAAGGAAATATCTAAAAATATATATTCTAAACATGTTAAATTAAAAATTCAGTGAGGAAGTATCATATATAGGTGACAATTGTCATAATCGCTATTTTTGAACTTTTTCAAATTTTTTTAAAGGAAATATCTAAAAATATATATTCTAAACATGTTAAATTAAAAATTCAGTGATGATGTATCATAGATAGGTGACAATTGTCATAATCGCTATTTTTGAACTTTTTCAAATTTTTTTAAAGGAAATAGCTAAAATTATATATTCTAAACATGTTAAATTAAAAATTCAGTGATCGTTATTTTTGAACTTTTTCAATTTTTTTAAAGGAAATAGCTAAAAATATATTTTCTAAACATGTTAAATTAAAAATTCAGTGAGGATGTATCATAGATAGGTGACAATTGTCATAATCGCTATTTTTGAACTTTTTCAATTTTTTTAAAGGAAATAGCTAAAATTATATATTCAAAACATGTTAAATTAAAAATTCAGTGAGGATGTATCATATATAGGTGACAATTGTCAAAATCGCTATTTTTGAACTTTTTCAAATTTTTTTAAAGGAAATAGCTAAAAATATATATTCTAAACATGTTGAATTAAAAATTTAAGAGGATGTATCATAGATAGGTGACAATTTTCATAATCGCTATTTTTATCATTTTTTAAAGAAAATAGCTAAAAATATATATTCTAAACATGTTAAATTAAAAATTCAGTGAGGATGTATCATAGATAGGTGACAATTGTCATAATCGTTATTTTTAAACTTTTTCCAATTTTTTTAAAGCAAATAGCTAAAGATATATATCCTAAACATGTTAAATTAAAATATCAGTGAGGATGTATCATAGATAAGGGACAAAAAATGTTATTATATATACGAGTATTAAGGTACATAATAATTTTTAAGTGATAAAATGAGATGCTAATATATTTCTTGTAATTTTAATTTTTAAAAAAATTCTTAAATATGTTATTGTCATAGACTGGGTCAGAAAATCAACTATCACATAAACTCATCTATGTTTTATTCATATTATATTAAGTTTGAGGATATTAAAATATTTCCTCTTTGAAGTTTCTAGTTAGGATAAAATTTACTTGGCACATCTTACAATGATATTTATACCTTGTTTTTTTTTCGAGAATAAATTTTATGCGATATTTCATGAAGGAAATTACATATCATTGTACAGAGAAATAACTTTGTATATATTATCTTCATCAATATCTTTTATATCAATCTCTATCGATGACATTTTAAATTATATTGGAAAACTAGATTGTGTAGATTTATAATTATTAATTTAAAGGATTAAGATTTTAGAATTAATTATAAATATATCTTAATAATTTTTATATGCATTTAATATTTAAAATCTCTCGTTATAAGCCTATTTAGCAAGAAAAATATTGACTAATCCTGAAATTACGATAATAGATATCTATACCTTTATATAATCTATGAGAAAATTTGCTCTCATAATATTCTTCTTAATAAAATAGTGAATAATTAACGCCTGAAAAAAAGTATAGCGCTTTATAACATGGTTCAAAGTTAATCCTAGTATCAATTTTAATTTGTAATTTTTCTCAAGTGTTCAAAATTCTAAATCTTAATATCAAAAACTATTTTAGTTATCAATTTAGTAATATTAAAACACTAATATTCTCCAGTATTCATAAAAAACAACAGCCTGAAACAAGAATACTAAGCTCAAATCATCTTAAATATTTGATACATTTATAGTTTAAATATTTTTATTTAAATTATATATATTTATTAATGTACAAAAAATTTAATTTAACATTATATATAGATATAAAAATTATGTATAAAATTTATTATTCATGATATTGATATCCCATGAATTTAAACATAAACACTGTTTAAGTGTTTCGGAGGCCATGCGATTTCTTTTCTTTGTTACGGTGTCCACCCCTCTTGAGAAGACACGCTCGCTCTCAACGGATGTACTTTGCTGCGACAAAAAATCTTTAGCCAACATGCAAAGGTACGGAAAACGCTCAGAATTACAGTACGACTTAAAAAAACTCGACTTAACACTACATTTATGAAAAATATGGCTCGCCTAAATTATTAAATTATATTTAAAAAAATTCATATTTTAATTGAAAAAATGCATCCGGAATCGCAAAAACTTATTTAAAAAATTTATTGTTTTATTAGTTTAAAAATTCCATATGGAAGTGAAGTGACTATTTAAATTCTAAAATTATAAAAGATATTTTATTTTACTTTTAGTGGTGCCAGCTAGACGGCAAATTTGTTGAGATTTTTTCTTTTCTTCATTGTTAGGGATAGGGATATGATTAATAATCATTTTTATTAACTTTCCAAATTTTTTTTTATTATTTTTAGGGGTATAAATCTAAATTTTTTTATTTTATTCATTTTTTGTTTTTAAAATTATAATTTAATATTATTAACATAAATTTTATTAATAAAAGTTCTCCAATTTAAATCATTTCTTAAATGTTTTACACATTAAAATTGATACTGGGATTAACTTTGAACCATGTTATAAAGCGCTATACTTTTTTTCAGGCGTTAATTATTCACTATTTTATTAAAAAGAATATTATGAGAGCAATTTTTCTCATAGATTATATAAAGGTATAGATATCTATTATTGTAATTTCAGGATTAGTCAATATTTTTCTTGCTAAATAGGCTTATAACGAGAGATTTTAAATATTAAATGCATATAAAAATTATTAAGATATATTTATAATTAATTCTAAAATCTTAATCCTTTAAATTAATAATTATAAATCTACACAATCTAGTTTTCCAATATAATTTAAAATGTCATCGATAGAGATTGATATAAAAGATATTGGTGCAGATAATATATACAAAGTTATTTCTCTGTACAATGATATGTAATTTCCTTCATGAAATATCGCATAAAATTTATTCTCGAAAAAAAAACAAGGTATAAATATCATTGTAAGATGTGCCAAGTAAATTTTATCCTAACTAGAAACTTCAAAGAGGAAATATTTTAATATCCTCAAACTTAATATAATATGAATAAAACATAGATGAGTTTATGTGATAGTTGATTTTCTGACCCAGTCTATGACAATAACATATTTAAGAATTTTTTTATAAATTAAAATTACAAGAAATATATTAGCATCTCATTTTATCACTTAAAAATTATTATGTACCTTACTACTCGTATATATAATAACATTTTTTGTCCCTTATCTATGATACATCCTCACTGATATTTTAATTTAACATGTTTAGGATATATATCTTTAGCTATTTGCTTTAAAAAAATTGGAAAAAGTTTAAAAATAACGATTATGACAATTGTCACCTATCTATGATACATCCTCACTGAATTTTTAATTTAACATGTTTAGAATATATATTTTTAGCTATTTTCTTTAAAAAATGATAAAAATAGCGATTATGAAAATTGTCACCTATCTATGATACATCCTCTTAAATTTTTAATTCAACATGTTTAGAATATATATTTTTAGCTATTTCCTTTAAAAAAATTTGAAAAAGTTCAAAAATAGCGATTATGACAATTGTCACCTATATATGATACATCCTCACTGAATTTTTAATTTAACATGTTTTGAATATATAATTTTAGCTATTTCCTTTAAAAAAATTGAAAAAGTTCAAAAATAGCGATTATGACAATTGTCACCTATCTATGATACATCCTCACTGAATTTTTAATTTAACATGTTTAGAATATATATTTTTAGCTATTTCCTTTAAAAAAATTGAAAAAGTTCATAAATAACGATTATGACAATTGTCACCTATCTATGATACATCCTCATTGAATTTTTAATTTAACATGTTTAGAATATATAATTTTAGCTATTTCCTTTAAAAAAATTTGAAAAAGTTCAAAAATAGCGATTATGACAATTGTCACCTATCTATGATACATCATCACTGAATTTTTAATTTAACATGTTTAGAATCTATATTTTTAGATATTTCCTTTAAAAAAATTTGAAAAAGTTCAAAAATAGCGATTATGACAATTGTCACCTATATATGATACTTCCTCACTGAATTTTTAATTTAACATGTTTAGAATATATATTTTTAGCTATTTTCTTTAAAAAATGATAAAAATAGCGATTATGAAAATTGTCACCTATCTATGATACATCCTCTTAAATTTTTAATTTAACATGTTTAGAATATATATTTTTAGCTATTTTCTTTAAAAAATGATAAAAATAGCGATTATGAAAATTGTCACCTATCTATGATACATCCTCTTAAATTTTTAATTCAACATGTTTAGAATATATATTTTTAGCTATTTCCTTTAAAAAAATTTGAAAAAGTTCAAAAATAGCGATTATGACAATTGTCACCTATATATGATACATCCTCACTGAATTTTTAATTTAACATGTTTTGAATATATAATTTTAGCTATTTCCTTTAAAAAAATTGAAAAAGTTCAAAAATAGCGATTATGACAATTGTCACCTATCTATGATACATCCTCACTGAATTTTTAATTTAACATGTTTAGAATATATATTTTTAGCTATTTCCTTTAAAAAAATTTGAAAAAGTTCAAAAATAGCGATTATGACAATTGTCACCTATATATGATACATCCTCACTGAATTTTTAATTTAACATGTTTTGAATATATAATTTTAGCTATTTCCTTTAAAAAAATTGAAAAAGTTCAAAAATAGCGATTATGACAATTGTCACCTATCTATGATACATCCTCACTGAATTTTTAATTTAACATGTTTAGAATATATATTTTTAGCTATTTCCTTTTAAAAAATTGAAAAAGTTCATAAATAACGATTATGACAATTGTCACCTATCTATGATACATCCTCACTGAATTTTTAATTTAACATGTTTAGAATATATAATTTTAGCTATTTCCTTTAAAAAAATTTGAAAAAGTTCAAAAATAGCGATTATGACAATTGTCACCTATATATGATACTTCCTCACTGAATTTTTAATTTAACATGTTTAGAATATATATTTTTAGATATTTCCTTTAAAAAAATTGAAAAAAGTTCAAAAATAACGATTATGACAATTGTCACCTACCTATGATACATCCTCACTGAATTTTTAATTTAACATGTTTAGAATATATATTTTTAGCTATTTCCTTTAAAAAAATTTGAAAAAGTTCAAAAATAGCGATTATGACAATTGTCACCTATCTATGATACATCCTCACTGAATTTTTAATTTAACATGTTTAGAATATATATTTTTAGCTATTTCCTTTAAAAAAATTGAAAAAAAGTTCAAAAATAACGATTATGACAATTGTCACCTATCTATGATACATCCTCATTGAATTTTTAATTTAACATGTTTTGAATATATAATTTTATCTATTTCCTTTAAAAAAATTGAAAAAGTTCAAAAATAACGATTATGACAATTGTCACCTATCTATGATACATCCTCACTGAATTTTTAATTTAACATGTTTAGAATATATATTTTTAGCTATTTCCTTTAAAAAAACTCAAAAAGGCTCAAAAATGGCGATTATGACAATTGTCACTTATCTATGGTACATCTTCACTGAAATTTTGATTTAACATGTCTACAATATATATTTTTATCTATTTCATTTAAAAAAGTTCAAAAATAACCATCATAACAAATGGATCTTTTCTATGGTGCATTTTCACTTAAAAATTTAAAAAAATAACTATGATGAATAGTTAATCCAGAGTATTATAATTTAAAGAAGCTTTAAGTAACTTTCCCGCCTATAATATTAATATATACTAAATGTTATTTGACTTTTGGTCAAAAAAAATGATCTAGATATTGGGTTAAGGGTGAAAAAAAGCAACCCTAACTTTAAGTCGACTTTAAAAAAAAAGATCCATATTTTGGGTCGGATTGAATAAAACGACCCGATGTTTGAGTCTGAGTCAGAAAAACGACCCAAAATTTGAGTTGGAGTCGAAAAATACGACCCAAACTTCAAGTTTGAGTCGAAAAATACGACCCAAACTTCAAGTTTGAGTCGAAAAATACGACCCAAACTTCAAGTTTGAGTCGAAAAATATGACCCAAACTTCAAGTTTGAGTTGTAAAAAACGACCCATATTTTGGGTCGAAGTCGAAAAAAACGACCCAAATTTTTAGTCGGAGTCGTAAAAAACAACCCATATTTTGGGTCGAAGTCGAAAAAAACGACCCAAATTTTTAGTCGGAGTCGTAAAAAACGACCCATATTTTGGGTCGAGGTCGTTTTTTTCGGCTTGGACTTGGGTCGGAGTCGAAAAAAACGACCCATATTTTGGGTCGAAGTCGTTTTTTTCGGCTTGAACTCGGGTCGAAGTCGTAAAAAACGACCAAAACTTTGAGTTAGAGTCGAAAAAAACGACCCAAAATTTGGGTGAGCTCTGTTCGAGCCGACTCGGCTAAGCCGATTAACAACACTAACTAGAGGATACTGCAAATGGAAAAATTTTAAGGCTTGGCCCAGTGGGAATTTGGTTTTTGCTCAGCCCAGTTTCAATTTTTCACAAAATTGTCCAGCCCTATTTTTAATTTTTTTTAAATACAAGGTCTAAACAAAAATATATGTTATTGAACACCAAAATAAACAACTACTTTATGATGAGTGGTTTAATTGATAAAAACATTATACTTTATGGATTATTACTTCTATGAAATGGTAGAATTCATCAAATATATAAAAAAATTCAAATTTTGACCAGCTCATTAAATCTTTCCAGAAATTACTTAGTCCAGCCTGCCAGGTATTTCAGATCTCTATTATAAACCATAAAATTATCTCTAATTTAAAACAAAAATTGATTAGCTAATTTATAAATAATAATCTATATATAATGAAAAATTATACTCTATCTGATTCTGCTAAATCCCTCAGAATTTCTTCAATAAAATATTTACTCTTTCCATAAGCATTTATACAATTACCAACAGGATGTTTTTCATCTATAGGTAAATATTGTGGCTCCCCATAAACTGTTGCTGAACTTGAGAATATTATATTTTTGACATTAAATTTAAACATGGTCTGATATTAGATATTATATATATTATAAATTATGAAAATTACATTTAATAGATTTAATGTCCCACCTAAATTAACAGTATAGTATTTCAATGGAATTTGTTTTGACTCACTCACTGATTTTAAGCCAGAAAAATGTATAACACAAAAAAATGAATACTATATAAATTTAAACATTTAGTTTGAGGGAAATAGCAATAATACTTTAATAAATATTTTTTCAAGATCTTTGATGTTTAATAAATCAACTTGAAAAAACGTGACATTTTTACCTGTTATTTCTTCTACCCTTTTTAGGCTTTCAGCTTTATTATTATGATCTAATTTAAAATTTAAATAAAAAATCTTTTTTTATATTACCTTTTACACTATTACTAAAATTATCAACGATTATTGGATTGTATCCTGCATTTAATAGTTCAATAACAGTGTGACTTCCTATATAACCAGCTCCTCCTGTAACTAATATATCGAGCATCGTACGATTTATTTTAATATTTATATAATATATTTAAACGTAATCGTGCAAATATTTGAAAGCATGTAAACAATGAATGAATGTTCTTTCCGTATAGCAGTCTTTCGAATGTCAATCATCGTCAAATTTAACAAGTAAAAATTTTATTTTTTTAAGATGGGAATATTTTTTAGTTTTCACTAGTAAGAAGATAACTCTTATTTAGCCAATAAATTACCTTAATATTATTTCATCACAGTAATTTGGAAAAGCATCAAAAGATTAAATTCCAAATTTAATAATGAATTCTAGCAAATTAGAAAATGTAGTTTCACCTAAAAGCGTGAAAAATGTCAAAAATATTTTAAGAAAATAGCAAAATTTAAAAATTAGTGAGCAATGTAAAATTAAATCCGAAAATTTAATAGTAAATGAGCAATTGCAGGTCAATTAAGTATTTTAGCACTTTTTTTAGGAGAAAAGTATTTCTATAGGCGAGATGTCTTAGGGGAAAATGGCCATAAGCAAAACACACCCCAATCATAAAACATATTAGTTCATTTGTTAAAAAGCTATTAAAAATATCATAGCCCAAACCGCGTAGACAGCAGGAGAGGGGAACCCCCCCCCATACCCATATCATCAAATTTGTGAAAAAATACAAAAGAGGTCAGATACATAGCAAGCGATGGTGAAAGAGGGAAAAATTTCTTCCAAGCAAGAATTTTTGAAAAAATATAAAAGTACCTTATGAATTTTGAATTGCAAAATGTTCTATTTCATATAGGTTATTTTGAATTGCAAAATGTTCTATTTCATATAGGTTATTTTTGATTCTAAATATTAGCAAAAGTTAATATTATTTAAATATTTATTTCTTGTGTGTTAATGTTATCTCACAAAAATTTAAAGTATATTTTCTTACAATTTTTTAACCTTAAACACAGATGGACAGCGTCTACATGATAGGATTTTCACTGGATGCAAACCCCACTCAAAAATCTAATACCCACCTAAAAAATTTCGTTGCCTTGCGGCTATGTTTTCCCATTATTAATAACAACCTTTTAATTGTAATAATACTCCTTTCAAAAATTTTAAAAAGAATAACTTCAATTATTTTATCTCTACCACCAACTATCAAAATATTGTGAATATATAGCAATATGAGTTTGCTGAGAATGTCTAACCTAATTACATTTAAAACAATAGCAAAAACTTTTATTTGAAAAATAATGTCTATGATTGTTTGCATTATATAGATTTGGTCGATGATCAGCAATATCATTTTATCATAATAGGTCTATAATAATAGTATTAATTTTTGCAGTAATATATTTTGTCCTATTTCATCTCAAAATTTACCCCAAAAAATTTACCATCCCCCCTAGAGGCCCCTACCACCCCCCCCCCCTTACTCTCTCAAGAAAAACTGTATGCAAACTATTCTTACACCCCCCCCCCCCTATCCCCCCATCTCCGTATATGTAGATGCTGCAGATGGATATAAAAAAATTTTATTAACCAAAGAAAATTCAATGTTCGCAAAAAGGTTTAAAGGTATTTTAAATGATAAAAGATTTTATTTATATATTTTATGGGATTTATATTGAAAATTGAATCAAAGAGAAATGAAAATTATTATATTTTTATAAAAAAGTATAGGGTCGGATTTTTGTCTGATGAGAATGAGGATGAACAAGTGAAGTTCCAATAAGAGATTTGCCTGATTCCCAAGAGATTGTCGTCAGATATCGACTATCCTGTGATGATATGGTAGATTAGTAGGTTCAAGAATGTTTGGGATACGAGCTGCGTTTAGGCTCCGACTTGTAAGATTTATTGAGGTTTGATGTTGCTGTCGGCCTTGATTATATAAATAGCTAAGTCCATGTCTCCTTTTAGAGATGACTAACGGTTTGCAATCTATACAATTATGTGATTGAACTTTGTTATCTTATTCATAAGCCTACAAATTATCCTCAATTTTTCTTCTGATAAAATATTACTAAGGTTACTGAGGGTTTTTGACAATTCGTTTCGAGTATGTTGTCTGAATGAAGGAGTTGGATCGGATTCGTGGGAAGGGGGGATTAGACAATATATAGAATGTGAAAGTTTTCACTGTTAATAACTATTGAAAAAGGATTGTTAACGAGCAATATAGACCTGGGATATATGGTGGTTGATTTCTTCTTTTACGATTTTTCTTTATTTTAGAATATTAAACTAATTATATCATTGATAACCTTATTATTGGATTACAAAATAAAATGGGGCTTACCTTTTATACTGTGCGCTATTTGGGAATAAATATACGTACTTTTTACTAACTAACATGGGAAAAATGGTAAGCGCTTCGCAATAAAAATTTAACCTACAAAACACAATTTTTTTTATTATTATTCTTGTTATAATATTAGTATTTATTTAAGAAAATTATTTTAAAAGAATTAGTCCTCACATAGATAATTCCTGACACAAATAGGATGTTCCCATTCAGAAAAATTTTGGTGCATTGCTTTATAACAAATCTTCGCACTTTTTCTTAAATGATAATGTTTAAAACTTAACCCCCCCCCCCCCGCGATTTTTCCTTTCTACCCCTATATATTTCTTAACAAAGAAATTATAAATCATCAAAATAGGCTTAGAAATACCATATTTCCTGTACTCCATCCACTACTATTTCCTCTTTTCTCTTCCCTCATTATATTTCAATCCCTATATTGTGTTATAACTCCCCTCTGTGGTAGAAGTGCCTGCGATCATGATTAGATAGTAAGTCCGACATAGACTCATCAGATGTTTCGAGACTTACATTAGATTTTTAGGGATCATTAGGAATAAAGTCATTCAAAATGGTTTTATCTCTAGAGTGATCATTACAAATATATTCAGTAATAACAAAGTTTATTAAGGAGATTCCACAATAGGAAAACTACTTTAAATATTTTGGAATAGTCACCTTGAAAATTATTGCTTCACAAATTTACCTACTCCTTTCATAAAATTTAAAAATATTTTTGCCTCAAAACAAATATACCAAATAACAAAGTTGGTAAAATTAAACTAAAACATATTTAATGATTAAAACTCTTTGAATTCAAATTTCCCACTACTAATGAATATGCATAGAAATACATCTTTTAAACAAATTTGAAACAATTAACGGTAAAAATGAACATAGACCTTTGCCTTTTTACCATAACTACAGTATAGTCTCGGTCTCCTTTACTTTTCCATGTATTAATTGCACAATCTAATAAATGAGTTGGTGATATGAAGCCAAACATTATGAAGTTATTCACCAATCTACAGGCAATAAAAGATGATGACGAAGTGGAAGAAGATCTAGCTTACCAGAATTTGCAGGAATGAGGAAGAGCCTAGTTAAAATCCGTTAATTTAATATTTATGATGTTTTCTAAAAAGATTTATAATTTATATAAAATTTATCAGTAAAAGATTTATAATTTATATAAAATTTATCAGTAAAAAAAATAGTATTTAAAAAAAGAGGAGGATCTAAAAATATGCAAAAATTTTGGTGTGCATCCTTTACGAAAAAAAAATAAACTTTGACGCATGGTTAAAAATGGCAGATATTAGATTTTTAATAAATTTTTATTCGTAACCTACTAAATTGGAGGGTCTGCTATTAAAAAGCAAATATTATTTTTTATCTTATCGAAGAGCCCCAATAGTGAAGAGATGTTTTTAAACTATTTAATAGCTTTAAGAATATAAGATGATGACCCGCTAAAGTCTCTATACCATTTTGATTAAGCACACTTTTCATTTTCATTTAATTTAAAAAAAATAGAATTATTACCATTCAACAAAATTTAGCAATGAAGATTCACGCATTTTCCTAAAATGATTTATTATTTTCATGATATATATATTTTATCTAAATATTACAAAAGTTATTATTAATATATTCCGATCTAACAATATTTTTGTTAATATTCATTTGGGATAATATTTTGTATGTTTGTAAATAATGAAAGAAATCTATGATTTTTAAATAAAAATTAGAAATTATACGTTTCAGGAATATTAAAAAAAAAGAGTAAAAGCTACAAAAATGAACCAAATCTATTTTTTATAAAATAACTCAAATTAAAGAACAGAAACAGATATAAGAATGGAATACTGATATAAAAGCGTGTACAAATCATCTGCCTAAATGTTATTATTACTAAATAATATATGGTCAAGAATATATAAATTTATTTTAATAAAATATATTAAATAAAATACGGAGAATTTTATTCGTTTATATCTAAATATATATATTAACCAACCCATTGCTTCAATAATTATGCATAATAATTTTGGGGGTTATTTGCATAAATAAATATTGTATAATATAGTAAATATTTTATAATATTACATAAAAAATTTCTCAAGTATGACCAGCTATGATATAAGATGTCTCTCCTTTTAACTTTTATTTAAAAGCTTTAGGAATTGGATTATTTATTAGGTTATATAATATATATCGCAATTTTACCTAAAATATTCATTTAAAAAAACTTAAATTTAAAATTGATAGTTTACAGGTTGGAAAATGTACAAGTTTGAAATGATACAAATAGAGCTAAAATGCGATACATTCTAAAATAGCATATAATATAAATTACTAAATTAATAGCGCATGGAGCAATAAAACCCATTAGCGAACCTCACTAAGTATTGTGTTAAAGATGACGGACTATCAAGTATTCCTATATCTTGAAGCATTGTTAAATTTTCCCTTTTCCGTCTTTGGTCATTTCCAGACAGAACGTTTTTTCAAAGCTGTTTTTGGGTAATGTTATCAGCAATCAATTTTTTATTTCCAAAAAAAATGTTAACTTCTAGAATTAATTTTTTTTATATAATATAATATTTAAAAAAAAAACAATTTAGATCCCCATTTTTTTAATCATAAATAGAAAACAAACTGGTTTGATTTTAATAACGTTAAATGGCGTTTTAAAATGTGGCTCCGGATTGTTTTTTTTTTTAAAATATTATATTACATAAAAAAAAAATTAATTCTAGAATTTAACATTTTTTTTATAAATAAAAAAAAATTGCTGGTAACCAGGCGCGTAACCAATGGGGGGGAAAGGGGGAAATTCCCCCCCATCGCAAATTTGACTATTTTCATAAATATCATTTTGAGCTAATAAAAATTTTACCCCTACCACCCCAGACCCCCCCCCCCCCACCAATCAAAATTTTACAAATATTTGAATATCAATTTTCCAACATATTATTCAAAAATATTAATAAAATGGAAAAATATTTAGTCAAAGAGATTGAAATCAAACGATAATTTATAAATAAGGTTGAGCATGAAAAAAAAGTAATGTGTCGTTAGCAGCGATATCATTATTGAATTCAATTGATCAATCAGAGTTTATCATTGCTGCTAGTTGCATCGATAAATTATTTTCCTATAGCTCACTACTTTGTAGAAATTTACAAAAACCAAATTTAGATTTGGTTCAGGTTATTGATTTGGCGGAAAATATACATGAACAGGTAGATACAATAAGAATGAATGTAGACGTTGAATCGAAGGCTAAATTTTATGATATAATACTAATTAAACCTCGTCAAGCACCTAGGCCATTATTGAGATGAAAATAAATATTGGCTCAACTGAAGAATATTATAAAATATCCATTTTCATCCCATTCTTAGATACTTTTTTATCGCAAATAAAAGTACGGGTTTTAGATAAAAAACAAGTCTTTAGCAATCTTCAAGTTTTATTACCCAAAGATCCTTCTTCATTTTCTAATGCCACTATTGGTAAAATTAAATATTTAGAAAAATTTTATTCCTATGAGATTGATACTGAAATAAATTTAATCAGTGAATTCGAATTGTGGTATAAATATTTATACGTTTAGCTATTTTACCTGAGAATGCTATTGATGCGCTCAATCGGTGTAAAGAAACCTTGGCTCAATTTCCTAATATTTCGAAGTTGTTTTATATTCTTGCATGTTTGCCTATTACAACATGTACGAATGAAAGGACTTTTTCCAACTTGAGAGGGTTGAAAACATATTTACGAAGTACTGAATCTCGGCTAAATGGGTTAGCTCTGTTAAATATACACAGAGATTTGGTTCCAACGACAAACGAAATAATTAAAAATCTTGTATTTGATAAGAAGTTAAAAAAAACTTGTTAATTTAATTATTTTCTAGTCAATATTTTAAACTACTATTAGTATCTTCAATAAAAAAATTATATTCTACTTATATTGTATGAGAATTTAAGCTGAGGCTAGTTTTTAAAGCAAATTTTATAAAAAAAATGACATTACACTTTATTTCAACTTTACATTTAAAAAAACTTTATTAAATATAATATACCTATCTTGAAATAATAAAAAAGAGGCTTGTAATATCCTATCCATAAGCACGAATTAGTAAATAATAGTTAAAAATAGAAATATAATTAAATTATGAATAATTTAATAGAATAGCTAAATAAGACCCGGCCGTAGGCCGGGGAAAAGCTGGCCGAACGCCAGGTAAAAGGGGTTTGGGGGCGAAGCACCCAAAAAAAATTTCCCCCCCCCTATAAGAAAATCCTGGATACGCCACTGCTGGTAACATTACCTAAAAACCACTTTGGAGAAACGTTCTGTCTGGAAATGGCCTTTCATAAGCCTAACGGGTAAAATGTGAATTTTAAGAGAACAAAATTAAAGCGTGGCAAGAAAGAGATATGTAGTTCGTTAAGACTCATCGTGAAATAATTTAAAATAATAACATAGGTAGTTAATACTCTACTCCTTTATTTTAATAACCAGCTAATCCCTCTTAAATCTATTATTTTGTCTAAGAGATAGATTATGTAAATTTAAAAGTATTTTCCCTAACTCTAAAAGTTGTGAGATATAACGGGCATAA